GATTTGCGATCCTGGTATCTGGGCAGCCTACTTGAGCAAAAGAATTTGCGGTTCTGCTAGGTCAGAATTCTGCTTTGAGCACTGCAACTAAACAGTCAACTCCTGAGGTGGGATTTCTTCTCTCCTGGAACTTTGTCAGATAATTGTCATATGTATGCTTTGAAATGGGCAAATTATGATTGCGAACATGTGACTTGACGGAGTCAATGCAGTGTTTCCCTGACCATATAAGTGAAATGCTGAACACTGGTGCCTGAACATTCAAATTGTTGAAAGTTAAATTGACAAGCTTCAAATTGGTGTTCGAGGGCCGGTGTCCTGCGTGTTTGAGGAGCTACCCTGGTTAAACGCCAGTGCTTCATTAGGATTCCTCAATATGCCACAAAGGTCTGCAGCAGAGGCCTAATTGGGCACTCCTTTGGTTCAGCTGTGTTGAACTCGGGCAGCTACAAAATATGCGGGACACCAGCCCTCAAGGACAGACTTCGGACACCCCTGCTTTTATATGGTATTTCCATTTGGGGTGCCAAGGCAAATTAATCCTGCTGGAAGACCACGAAAGCCAGTAAATAAACATTTTCAAGGGCAAATGGGTTTTTGCCCACCACTGGAACAAGACTCTCTAAGGGGCTATATAAATATTCTACTTAAAAAAAAAAAAACGTATCCCAATTTTTATTTGAAAATTAACTAGAGATGGAAATCTGGACCCACGTGAATTGCTTCAATTAAAATGATGGTACTGCCCAGAATTATTCTGTGATTCCAAACAAACTTAACCTGACTGGTTTAGATCACGGTAATCTTTCATCTCTAAATTCCTTTGGGGACTATATTGGGCACTACAGATAACTAAAAAGGGAGGACTAGATCTTCCCAACTTCTTCCACTACTTCGTGGCCAACAGGCTACTGTACATCTCAAACTAGTTAAATTCTAGCCCACTACTAGACGAATCAATATCAGGATCTCAGATCTACCATTCATTAGCACAAACATAAAATGACGTGTTCTTTAAAAACAATATCAGCTCATCTCCGGCAGTATGGTAGGAATTTCTGAAAATGACAAAGTCTTCACTAATCCCATGTAGACAAAACACCCTTCTGGAACAATCCTGACATCCTACAAAATACAATGTTAAACTTCCCAGGTTGTAGAAGTAAAGGAGTTGAACTTCTGGAACATATATTTGAGGGTGCAGAGTTTGTTCCATTTAACATATAATACAATACGGAACTGACAAGAAATTCTTAGAATATCAAATTAAATCTATAATAAAATATAAATTTAAGCTCAACTAGACACCGCATGCACAAATGCACCAGAACTCAGAAATCTCTTTCTAATAAATGTCATGCTACTAGGTGCGTCCCAAAATTGTAGTGGTTTGGGTGGGGGTCGTTTTTTGTGGGGGTGCATTGGTTAACCTGATGGATAGCCCTTCATCRCAGTCAAAGAAGATCTGAAGCTCCTATGCTTAGTTTTTGAGCTATAACCATTTTAGTGTGTCCAGATACCCCTTTGTCAGATGAATGGGGGGCACTGATTGGTGGGCCTGATGGAAAGAGCTTCATCAGAGCTAAACAAAAGAAATCTGAAGCTTCTAT